AAGAACTTAATTCGTTCTGGAGGTCCGTTCTTAACCTGAAACTGTTCTTAACCTGAGGTACCACTTTAGCTAATGGGGCCTCCTGCTGCCGCCGTGCGATTTCTGTTCTCATCCTGAAGCAAAGTTCTTAACCCGAGGTACTATTTCTGGGTTAGCGAAGCCTGTAACCTGAAGCGTCTGTAACCCGAGGTACCACTGTAATAAGAATATATTGGTAAGAGATTATATGGCAAAAATGAATTGAAGCTTTTTTTTTTTTTAATTGCCCAGGAAGCTGTATGCTAAATTGCTTGGTCTTGATGGACTGTGGTAAACTGAAATCTCAAATGTTGAAGCAAAGGAAGAAGAAAAACAAGCTATTCTGGCTCAGTAACCCTAAGTGAGCAATCATACTTATTACAAACCGCCTTAGGAATACCATATACAGAATTTGGCCAAGGTCAATGTAGACGGGCGCTGTACATTCTGTTCAGAAGAAGGCTCACCCGGAGCCAGAGAACACTGAAATTACCAGCATTGAATTGTACAATTTATGGAAATATGTTAGTGTGCCATAAATCTGATGCTGGAGCGAAGTACAAACAACATAGAAATGCTTTTGCCTTTGTAGGTGTTACAGCATGAGGTGCCGTCATGAACTCTAGATTCTGACACCCTCCAAACGTTAAACTTTAATTCCAATCAGTACAATGCAAGTTAGATGTTAACCACATTGGGTTTAGAAATCAAAAGAGTTTTGTCTAACTATCATGTGCAGAATTCTTGAGTTGCGCTCCCTAAAACTGCTGAAAGAGCAAAATAACCCTTCATATTTTTATAGTCCTCTATGTAGGGCTTCATAGATGCATTATCTTAGTAATCCCTAAAAATAACTTCAGAAATGCCGGTCATTATTATAACCGAAATAAAAAAGAAAGCGGGGAGCATTCTCTACAACAGGAACACACAAAGTGGAAAAGAATTCTAGGCACACAGGGAATAAAAAGTTTCATTTATAAAGTTTGTGGCTAGGGTGCAATTGCAGGAGAAAAATGGTAGATGTCCATAGAGAGATGGCAGCTGGGGTTTCAATGCATGAAGTGGCCAATTATGAATTGTTACAGCCTTTAAGGCATTCTTTCCTTTCTAAGATTTTTTATTTCCTTTCACTGAATAACCACCCATCTCTTCTTGCCATTTTACACCTCCCTCGCTGTATCCCGCATTGAAAAGTCCCTTGCCCTGGAGTCCTTTCTTTTATTTTGGCAGCTTTTGTCTCCTAGTTGCAGGGTCCAGAGTCTGAGAGTGAGAGCAATGCGCTGAATTCTCTGGAATAAACCTTAACATTTTGGGGGGTGAACATGTCAGATGTGAGGGAAAACTTGGAGAGATGCTGCAAAGACCAGGAAGCAGGAGGGGCTGGAATTCCAGCCAAGGAGAAACACTGGCTCCTTGTTTTGCTCAGCAGAGGGCCATCAGAAATGTGCACTAGACTTTGTCAGACTTGTGACAGGAGCTGATATTTCTGCTGAAAAGGCTTCATGTAAGGACTTTTCATGCCAGTATACAAAGGAAAGGTGGAAAAGCTCCAAACCTTGCACAGTTTAGAAGTGTTTACTTTCTACAGCTATGAATTGTTCTGAGAACATGGAGAACTTCTTTGCAAACAGCTTAATCTTTGCAATATCGGTCGAAGCTGTTGGTTCTCGCTGTTTGGGGTCACGATCTAGAGAACCTGTTCCGCATTTAGAAATCTGCTTACACCATACAGAGCAGCGCTTTCTCCTATTCAAGCACTTTGGGCAAAAGAACCTTCCCCATTTAGAGGAAAACTCGAGCAACATACTGAGCATTTGTTCCTTGTGTTCAAGCGGTTTCAGGTGGCTAATTATTTCTCTTAACCTTGTGTTGTGCAGGAACTTTACATATTATGTGGCTAAATATGAGCAGTATGATTCTTTGCACGCTTGACCCTCGCATCTTTTAGGGTAAAGATTTCTGAATTGAATAATCCTTGCAGTAAACAGGTTAATATGAGGATTTTAAAGTTGTGATGGCCAAATAGCTGATTCATCTGTTATGTACATCGCATAACAAGGAATACAGTACATAGAAGGCATACCTCTGGCCAGTGAGGTGAACCCCACTCCCCTTTAAAAAACAAAACCTCAATTTTTTGCTTTCCATTTTTTCCCATGAGTTTTTGCCTTCAGACTAGACCAGGTGAGGGGAACCTTAATCCTCCAGATGTTGTTGAACTTCAGCTCCCATCAGCCTCAGCAAGCATAACGATGGATGGTGGGATTTGTAGTTCAGCAACATCTGAAGAGTCAAAGGTCCCTCACAACTGATCTAGACCAGTGTTTCCCAAACTTGGGTCTCCAGCTGCTGTTGGACTACAACTCCCATAATCCCTAGCTAGTGGGACCAGTGGTCAGGAATTATGGGAATTGTAGTCGAACAACAGCTGGAGACCCAAGTTTGGGAAACACTGGTCTCGACCATGACTGAGGAACCTTTGGCCCTTCAGTTGTTGCTGAACTACAACTCCCATCATCCATCGTTATGCCTGTGGATGATGTGGACCTCCAGATGTCCTTCCACAATTCCTGATCATTGGCCATGCTGGCTGGGACTGATAGGATTTGTAGTCCGACAACATCTGGAGGGCCACAGGTTCTTCCTCTCTTCATTAGATGCTCCCCAGCTTTTAGTACACATTGGAATTTGTAGCAGGGGAAATAATTGCATCATGTTTGCATTAATACAAACCAAGCAACTGCGTGGTTAAAAAACAACAGCTTCTTATATCTCATCCTTATTTGGATTGTTTACATTCACACTATTTTGGGTGAGGGAATAATGGCTCTTGCACTGCTACTGCTGGATTCCTTCTTCCCCTTCCTCCTCGCCTCCCTGCTGTGACGTTGAACTATAGTCCCGCTTTCCTGCAGCTGCTTGGAAAGGGAGGACAGGAGAGCCCTTGAGTCTCAAGTTCCTCCTTTATAACAGCTTAAAGTTCTTTGTGACTCTGCAATACCAAAGTGCTCTTTCCGTCTCTTGCTCTGCATGTGCAGTTGTTGCCTTATGCCCAGCTGCATGATTCAGTACGTGTTTTGTGGTGGTGAAACTTTTGTTTGCCTTTCTGTCTCCTGCGTTGCATGCAAACGACACTAGAACTTAATTGTCTCTGTTACATCCTGCTTGTCTTCCGAGGAACTTGGGGGCTGTGGAGGGAAAGTAGAGTTCAAACGGAAGCAAACACAGTTCTTTCTTTTTTAAGTGCTGTGAGCAACCTGCCTGCAGGCCTACCTGATCACCTGATATAAGTGAACTTAAAAGGATGCTTCTGCGCATGCTAAATTTTGCTATTTCAGGGTCACTTGCCAATGCCTCACTAGGGTCTTGTGTTCTTCTGCTGAGCCTCATGCACTTCCTGTAGATTTAAGGTCGTTGTGCTATTGGGACACACAGACAAAGCCCATGCACTCCCCCCCCCAGGATTTTAGAGTGGTGATTTGGCATTGGCAAATGCAGCAGTTTCTACTACTTAGCTTTTCTGGATTTCCTCTTTCTTTTTAAAAACACTTACCTTTGCTTGGCCACATTAAATAACAGTGCACTCAATTAATTCCAGATCAGTATGGAGCCCAAACTGCAAGTGACGATGACAGGCCTCACCTGCATGTTCAAAAGTAGATCTGTCCTACTGAGGTGGTTAGATGGAAAAGAGGACCTTCAGTAGATGTATAAAAAGAGAGGATTTCAACTGGTATAGTTTGTCATGCAACGTCCATTTCCTGAAATTTGCTCTTCTACATAATAGTTAAATTTAATAATTTGAATAAGTTAAATTATTTATACAGTGGTATACATACGCTTCAGGTTACATACGCTTCAGGTTACAGACTCCGCTAACCCAGAAATATTACCTCGGTTTAAGAATTTTGCTTCAGGATGAGAACAGAAATCGCACGGCAGCGGCGCAGCGGCAGCAGGAGGCCCCATTAGCTAAAGTGGTGCTTCAGGTTAAGAACAGTTACAGGTTAAGAACAGACCTCCAGAACGAATTAAGTTCTTAACCCGAGGTACCACTGTATTATTAAATGAAGAAACAATAAAAATACAATTAAAAACCAGTATGAATATTCAGTGCAATGGGTGTGCCATTTCCCATTTTCAGCCACAGATCCACAGACATACCATGGACCATCTGAATAAAGCTTGCAGACCACTGATGGTCCACAAGCCACAAGTTTGGGAACCCCTGGGCTAGATGCTACAGAAGTGGCCTTGGCATAGTTCCTCCTTCTCTGTCCCTGTGCCACAACATAGTCTAGCTTTATTCATTTGCTGGTTAGAGGGAGGGGAGGGAGGCTCATTTAAGCATTTGATTGGATGTCTTCCTACATAATCCTTCCCAACTTACAATTGGATATGTAAGATCAATTGTTCCTTGGTGCAAACATTGAGCGCATGACAGTGGACAAGAGTGCCTTAAGATTCATCTTGGTGCCCGGAGGGATACAGACACAAGAGGGAAGACAGGTCAAGGTGGCATTGGATATATTTTATTCTACAGAAGCTTTAGCTTTGGCTGGAAACTTAACCATACTGTGAGCCTTCAGACCATTCTGAAGAAAACAGGAATGAGTTTGCAGGTATCTTGTAGGGTTGCAGAAGACAGGTCTGCCTGGTGATATTGCAGAGCTACTGTCTTGAGTAGATAGAACCGAGCTAGATAGATCAATAAGCTGAATTGGTGTAAAACATCTTCGTATTCTGACTGCAGTGGTTCTGGGAAATGGTAGCTCATGGTTACTAGTTGAGCACCCCTTAGAATGCCACTGCCAACGTGACGTAGGTGTACAGATGGCCCAGCTCAGTAGCTCAGGTTGGCATGTTCAACTATGCATCCGTATTCTCCGTATCTTTATATCTGGAGCTGAGTTTCCGTCTGAACACCCAGATTTGATCTCACACAGAATAAACCTACTTCCTGCTTTTTTTGACTTTTCCAGCTTGACCTTACCAAACCGATAGAAGATCAGGGTCCATTAGATGTGATCATACACAAACTGACGGACGTCATCATTGAAGCTGACCAAAATGACAGCCAGTCGCTGGAGCTGGTTCACAGGTTTCAGGTGAGTAACATAGTCGATACCTTGTTGTGATTTATGGCGGGTGCAAAGGGCAAGAAGAAGAGTCTGGTTAAGCTATCCCTCCACCTGCAAATGGCAGTCCTATGGCCTTCTGCCTGTATTGCAGAACAGCATTCAGATGTGCAAAGCAGCAGAATTGCATGTAACGTGCTGTCGCCCTTCCCTCTGTGCCCATTGCACTTTCCCAAGGCGAATTTTCCTTTCCCCTCTAGCACATTGGTAAACTTGGGTCTGCTTGAATGTGTGAAGAGATGCAAATCGCATAGGTGAGGACTGTTCCCTTGCCAGGGTATGCATCTGCAGCCCTGTGATTGTGCCAGCAAAAATGTTCAAAAGAGGAAATGCCCTGAGTTGTCTTGTGTTCAGGGTGGGGGTTGAGTGGGAATTTGTTATCTTGGGACAGAACTACATGTTATGTATAACTCTGGGAAGCTGCTACAAACAGCACCCCTATAGCTTGTAGATGTTCTGACCTTGCTCAACGTTACCGGCTGGCAGCTGTGGGAAAGTGCTCAATTTGATTATTGTCTCAGCATGGGAGGAAGTGAGCTTAAAAGTTACAGGGGAGAGGGATTTATTTGTGGTTTTCCTGTGGCATATGTTCCTTGTAGTTGCACCTTTAGACCTAGCAGCAGTGTTGTATTGCCTACAGTTAGGTTCTTCTAGGGCTCCCCTTGTGACCAAATCACACCCACCTGGTGTCATATGTGATGTCAGGTGTTGCGCAGGTAAGGGCAGGGCTTGGCTGAAAGGCTGTTTCTGCAGGGTCAGCCGGTTGGCAGAGTAGCACTTTGAACAGGGTTTCAGAAGACCTGGAAGGGTGGGAAGGGGAGAAAAGTCACCTGAAGTCATTATGATGTCAAAGTTAGCCTGTGGGAGGTGGGGATTGGGCCAGAAAGATTTCTCACCATGGTCTGCAGCAGAAGGAAGAGTGAATGCAGTTAAGGAGCTAAACACAGGCATCTTTCAGAACATGTCATGTGACCTGTTCCCTTGGCTATTCCTTGCATTTCCTTTTGGATGTGCAGGTGGTACAAAAAACACCTGACGTGGATATTGAGAATTACTGCTTCTGCAAGTCCTGAATGCAGCATTTTATGTTGCTGACATTTTCTTTCTTTCTTTCTTTCTTTCTTTCTTTCTTTCTTTCTTTCTTTCTTTCGTACAAAAACTTCAAGGTGATACCTTCTTAAATTAAGAGGAGCTGTTCCAGTTAATTGGCCAGCCTTTGCATTCAAAGCAGAAGTTTTCAACTGATGCTCTTGCAGCTTTAAGACGTTTGCCGTCGGCTGGGTGAGCTCAGCGTATTAAATAGCTTAGCTGGAAACAAGCTTTCAGTTGTTCGGTATTGAGAGGCAAGCACCATTTTAAACAAAATAAATACAGGAGGACCTTTGCACAATGGTTGCAGCCAAGTAGCATATCTCAAATAAACAAAGCAAGAGAATTATTGTTCACAGAATCTATTCTACGCTGTACTTTAAAAGTGGATTTCTTAAGAAATACACTTTAAACTATATATAGTTTTAAGTACCTTCTTGCAGGACTACTTAAACCAAGTACAAAAGTGAAGGTATTTCTGTTCTCCATAGCCCAGGATAGAGGACTTAGAGGATGTACTCTTCGTCTGCCCTGGGACTTTTGTGTTGTCTTCGTTTGGGCTAATCCTCTCCTCCCTACGGAAAACAGAAGAAAACCTCTGCTGGATCAGGATAGAGGCCCATCTTGTCCATCATCCTGTTGTCACAGTGGCCAGCCAGATGCCTCTGGGAAGCCCGCAAGCAGCACCCGAGTACAACAGTGTTTCCCTTACCTGTGATCCCCAGCATTTGATATTCAGAGTAAACACTACACAAATCTGGAGTGGAGTCCCTAAGATGGTTGGATGGCAATTTGTATGCCTCCTTCTGGCAACTCCTGCAGCCAAGCTGGTATCTAATGTATTGCTCTGCTTTCCTCTGGACCACATCAGTGAGGCTGAGAAGGTGGGTCTTGTCATCTAGGCATTCTAGGACCTCCACACAAACTCCACCCAAGGAGGTCATTTCAGTGCTACTCACCCCTGGAGGCACACTCCATTGTCTCTCGAGACAGATGGATACCAACAACATTATTATCGCATGGGGACACCCTTACACACCTGTCTTCTGCCTAATCAGCTCTGCAGGCTTCCTGTTGGAATGGTTGGTGCAGAAGAAGTTGACTCTGGACCATGTATAACTGGCAATTCGCCTACCCCTTGTGTGCTCTGTGATGAAAAGCCTCTGCCAAGCGCTGCAAGCTTCTGTGATAACTAAACAGGAGCAAGAAATCCTCATCAGTGCTTGGCAATGTAAAAACACCACTCATCTGACCTTGGAGTTACTTGACGCAACTGGGTATCCCTTGGGCTCATTACTGGATATTAAATTAAGCTGTGTACTAATTAGCAGCTACATGAATAAAACGTTCTCCCTCCCTCCTGCAGTGGAAGGGTCAGCACCAACAATCTCCTGAGGGGGTTTCTACCCCTTGAAGTGTAATTGCCACGACTCCACATTTTAACCCTTTTAAGAACTCACAGCTGTCCATGAAGTCACAGGTTAATTCTGTGTCCAGGGTGTCTGTCTACCAGCTCTATCTGGTATGCCGGCTGGGACCCTACCTGCCTGCGCATTGTCTCACCAGAGTGGTACATGCACTGGTTATCTACCGCTTGGACTACTGCAATGTGCTCTACATGGGGCTACCTTTGAAGGTGGCTCCAAAACTACAATTAATGTCCAGAATGCGGCAGCTAGACTGGTGACTGGGAGCAGCTGCTGACACCGGTCCTGGAAGACCTACATTGCTCCCAATACGTTTCTGAGCACAATTCAAAGTGTTGGTGCTGACCTTTAAAGCCCTATACAGCCTTGGCCCTGTATACCTGAAGGAGCGTCTCCACCCCCATCATTCAGCCCAGACACTGAGATCCAGCTTTGAGGGCCTTCTGGCAGTTCCCACACTGCGAGAAGTGAAGCTGCAGGGAACCAGGCAGAGGGCCTTCTCGATAGTGGCACCAGCCTATGGAATGCCCTCCCATCAGATGTCAAGGAAATAAACAACTATCTGATTTTTAGAAGACATCTGAAGGCAGCCCTGTTTAGGGAAGCTTTTTAAGGTTTAATGTTTTACTGTGTTTTTATATATTCTGGAAGCTGCCCAGAGCTGCTGGGGCAACCCAGCCAGATGGGTAAATAATAATATAATATATATATATATAATTATTATTATTATTATTATTAATAATAATTTATTAAAGCCAGTTCCCAACGTTCTGTCACTTTCTTATGTGATCAGGAGGGAAGAGCCCACAATGTAGCTGTTCATATATGGTCACAATTGGCTATCGGTAGCTAGGCCAGGGATGGAGAGCTTATCTGACCCTCAGAATTGTCCCCTGGCTACACACCTTCCTCAGCCTCCCAACTTCTTCCCAGGCCACCCCCTCACCAGCCCTGTTTTCTGCCTCCTTGATAGTTTTTATTTTATTTTGTCTAGCTAAAATGTGTCCCTCACAGTGCTTCTCTTTGCTTGGATGGAGGACGGAGCCCCACTTCTCATACTGTTTCAGAGAGTCATCACCCGCCAGCAATTGAAATTTGCCAGGTGCATTTTGCACCTGGATATTGGCCATTTGCCAATCCAGTGAAGATGGCAGTGCCAGTGGCCTGACGTCTCCACTACCTAGAGATGCACGCCTGGAGGATCCTTACTGTTTCCACACATCGTGCAGAATTCTATCCATTATATTTTATCTGCACAATCAGAATGAATTTCAGGAACCAAAAAGTCGTATTGAAAAAGCTGACTCCAAAATGGTAACTAGGCATTCCGTTTTGATGACTGTAACCCTGGTTTAAGGTGCCATTTGACACCTAGCTTATATATCTGAGTTTCTAACACTGTCACCTGCCCCCACCTGGGAACTCAGTTGCAAAAGATGCAAGGTGCTTTAGGGGGATAGAAGATTCAGAAGATGTCTCCTGCCTGCTCTTCTTCCAGTATCAGGAGCATCCTCTGCGGAGGGGATGTTCCTTCTGGATGCATGCAACCCAACAGTAAAATACAAGTGATTGAATTCACAATTATAATTTATGAAGCACCTTAGAATCTAGGTAGTGTGAAATAGTTGTATTAAGAAGAGCAAACACTGTCCATAACTTTTCTTTAGAAGAGCCTTTGTGGGGAGAGGGGAAGACCGTGGTTCAGTGGTACAGCACCTGCTTTGCATGGGATAGCTCAGTTGCATAGTACTCTCAGGCTCATGGGTTTGAGCCCCATGTTGGGCAAAAGGATTCCTGCATAGCAAGGGGTTGGACTAGAATGACCCTTGTGGTCTCTTCCAACTATACAGTTCTATGCTTCTATGAAGGTCTCGGCTTCAGTTCCTGGTGTCTCCAGGTGGAGCTGGGGAAAGCTCCTGCTCGATCCCTGCAGAGATGCTTCGAGCATTACAGATCTAGGTGGACCAGTGGGTAACTCAAGGCAACTTCCTATGTTGCTTTGAGTACAAGGAAGATGGAGAGGCAGAGATCAGATGTCAAAGGCTTGGTAGCAAAGGCAAGTTTTCAGAGGCTGCTGAAATGTGTGCAAGGAGGAAGAAGCACAGACTGTGCAAGTTCCAGAGAAAAGGGGGCAGAACAGAGAAGGGGTGAAATAGAGGAAGCAACCTGAGGTTTGACCAAGGGGAACGTTATCAGTAGACTCAACCAAAACAAGAAGGCAAATGAAGAGAAAGAAGCAGAGATAGATAAAAGGAAGTGAAGAGATTTTTAAAAATGAACAAAAAGAAGCAGTAGCAACTTAAACTGGATCAGCTAAGGAAATGGAAGCAAATGAATAGAATTCTCTAACGAGGGGGAAACGTGGGAGAAAGGAGATCCAGGGTGAAGGTGAGAGAGATGCCAGTCAGAAAGAAGAGAGAGTAATCAAGCCATGAAAGAATAAAATAATAAGGC